GAAAATGGTTTAAGCAGCCCTGAAAACTTCAAAGTAGCAAGCAAAATGTTAAGATTGATGATGGAGGCTCCATGCTCATGCGCAATCTTTTGTTTTCCGTAATAGACTATACGTGAAACGTTCCTACTGGTTAGCTCCTTAGACAAAAGGAAACATCTATTATGTTTTTTGCGAGGTCAAAGCCAAAAATAGCCCGCAGTACAGTCACACGTTCGTGTCACAAAATCCTCGATATAGTTTACCGGTGATGAAGAATGTTTGTGTCGCAGGCTAGGCCAGGAAAGGGAACAAAAACATACAACAAAAGACGTTTGTCAGTCTTCATAAATTTTCTCCCCTATTAAATGTGGTCTAAAACTGACAGTGAAAAGCAGTGCGGGTTTTAGGACCTTCTAGGGCAGTTATTTCTCGGGTGAAAAGCTATAAAGATCAGTAAATAAAGCGAATTAAGTTAGCACGTTCATTTGACAGGACCAAGCTAGGGAGGGAACTAGAAGGACTCAGGAACAAGGCTCCATACAGAGAGGATCTTCGTAGACGTATTTCGCAGGTATCGAAAGTGTGATATGTACGTTATGCGATATCTCGGTGACCTCGTTGCCAGGGTCTCTCTTCTACTCCAGGGGGCGGAAGGAAAAGAGACCCTGGACACGATGTAGGTCCCCGTAAGGGGGACATTCTCTGTAAATGTTTGGGTAGAGGTATGACGTGTGTCGCTGGCACAATGAAACCCTTACCCAGTACTAGACCATGATCACCCTGATGTTTTTAAGACTAGGCACCATTTTCCATGCAGAAACTTTATCATTATGGTGGTCCAACATATGCTAACTAAACCATTATCTTAGCTTACAGTGTCACGTTTGCGTTTCAATTTTTATTACTAAAACTCTCGGTAGAGAACTAAATTATTTATACACTGACCACTTTCCCGGTAAATTATACCTTATTCTAGACCAAAACTGTCTAATTTCTACACCCTATCCCAGACTAAACTGCCTGAAAAACATACCCTTAGCAGCGGTACATACCCATATAAGGGGTACCCCCCCCTCCCCGGGGGAGGGGCTGGTCCATTATTCTACGCGCATTGTCACAAAAAAACGCCTGGCGTTATGTTTAGCCCTGGGTCGACCAGCAGGGACGCAAAGCGCTACATACCATTACTGCTCAATTGTTGCAAGTCAAACTTTACTAGGTACGATTTCAAATACAAGGAGGACAAACACGAACACAACGTCTTTTTCTCTCATTAAGTCCCAAGGTCTCAAATCAAAGCGTTCAAAGGAGTACATTTACGTGTTATTTAAGGCAAACATTTTTTTTGTTCTGAGATTTGTTAATCTAATAAGGTTCTCTTTTTTGCGAGCGTTGTAAAGAACCAGTCAAAAATGAACACGAATTTCGCCGGTACTCACTATCTTACCCAGATATAGATATATTAAAATTTCGAAAAGCTTAGTGAACTTTGTTCAACTAATTGTTCTGGCAAGTGCAGACCGCTATGATTTGTCTTGTATCGTTGAGTATTATACTGAGTGAACGTAAAAGTTTACAATGCTTAAATTAAATTGCCAAGTGCTTTTCTCCTTGTTTTTTTTTCTTTTTCAATACAACATAAAATAAATAAGATACAACATTTTGGAAACAAAAGCGTTATTAAAATATTTAGAATTATAAGCAAATAAACCTTGCCACACAGGTAGCTAATCTAGAACTAAGGAGAAAACACCACACGATATATAAATTAAACAAGGACAACAGTAGAACAAGGGTAAAACATTTTGTCATAGAAAATTTGTGCATTATAGCTTATCTGGATTAATTCAATTCTCTCTATTTTTAACTTTCCATTGTAAGAATAGCGCTGACTTCATGCGATCAAACCCAGAATATTAGGGTTTCTGCCTTTCTTGTTTACTTCAATGCTTTAATTTGCAACGGAAAAATTTTAAGTCAGTCAAAACACGCGCTCTGCCAGTTGATATTTCTTCTCAGGAGATTTTAAAACTTTTAAAACCTTTTCTTTAGCAAACAGAAGTTGACAGCTGTCACCTAACTTTCATCACTTTCACTCCCCATTGTAGAGTAGTTTGACAGGAGATCTTGTGACACAGCAAAAGGGCATCCCAGACGTGAGCAACTGTCCTGAACCCTTCTCTCACTCACCATATTGGCTGAGTATGAAAAACTTTCTTATTTTTGCCACTGACTATCTACAAATATAATCATTTAGCAATTTAACGATATCGTCCCTCTGAATATT